AGACCGGGGGGGGATTGTGAAGTTTTGTTTTGCTTTGTTTTTCGCTGCGACTGATCAGAGCGTTTTTAAACTCGCGTAAGTGAACAGGGTTGTTTTTTCCTCGAGTTAACCGTTCAGTTGTAATGCGTGAATTGGGGAAAAAATTTAACAGAGCGGAATTTTCCATCTGAACATGAGGAAGAACTTCTGCACCCTGAGGGTGATGGAGCCCTGGCCCAGGCTGCCCAGGGAGGTTGTGGAGTCTCCTCTGGAGATATTCAAGACCCACCTGGACAAGGTCCTGTGCAGTCTGCTGTAGGTGACCCTGCTTCGGCAGGGGGGGGGGGGGGGGGGGGCCCCCGCGGGGGCTCTCCACCCCAAAAAAAAAAGAAGAGGAGAAACTCAGGAGCATTGTATTTAAATAATGAGCTTGGTTCCAAGCGGCATCTTGAGCTCCATGTAGGAAGAATAGGTTCTGCTTTGCTGTTTTTTTTTTTGGTGGTGTGCTTACGTGCATTTAACGATCTTTATCACGTTTGTTGTAGACGCCTGTCCAGATAAAGGAATTTGGTGCGGTTACTAAAATTGACTTCTCCCCAGTGCTTCCATATAACTATGCTGTCACAGCTTCCTCAAGGGTAGGTGGCTTTACTGAGGTTTTTATGCTCTCGTTCTTCAGCTGGTATCATGCGAGCGAACTTAATGTCTTCTTGCCTTGCCAGATCCACATTTATGGTCGTTACTCTCAGGAACCGATCAAAACGTTTTCTCGCTTCAGAGATGCCGCTTATTGTGCCACGTACAGAGATGATGGCAATCTGCTGGTTGCTGGCAGCGAGGAAGGTAGCATTCGCCTCTTCGACATCAGTGGAAAAGCACCGCTCAGACAATTTGATGGCCATACTAAGTAAGACAGTGTTGTTTTTTGATTTTGTATGCATAAGCTTGTTTGGTGTATTTACCTATGTCTGCTTTGCATCTTGCTGAAAATCTGAATAATACTGATCGGTGTTGCTTGTAGCTGTCTCGCGTAGATCTTACTGAAAAGTAGATTTTTAAATTGAATTAAAAATTGGAGGTTTTTTGGTTTTTTTTTTAATTGTAAGTATGAACTGAGTAAGTACCAGATTAAATACATTTTCTAATTCAGGTGCGTGGCTGCTAATATGTTGTGTAGACAGTCTTGTGACTACATGGTGCTGATAAGCATGTTTGCTTTGATGCTGGCAGGCAAAGAGTTCTAAAAAGGTGCTAAATGAAAACAGTGAAGAAAAAGCCAGGAAGAGCAGGAATCCCTTAAAAAAACGAAACACGAGAAGTGCTCGATGGCAGGGTGGGGTTGTCATAGGAAAGGAATTGAAAGAGGAGTTCTGATATAGCAGTGAGGAGAAGACAATGATAATGCTTAGAGTAAACAGATTGCTGTGGAAGACCAATACGGGTTTTATCTATCCAGAACAACAACAATAAACCTGCTTTGACTGGAAAGCACACAGGCAGACCCTAAGAGTGTTTCTGTTTGAGGTGTGTGTTTGTTGGTCAGGAATCATCTCATGTCCTCACCGCTATGTTAACTGTAATAAGATTTAGATTATCTGTGTTTTCTGTCAAGATCATTCTCTGTTGGGATGTTACGATGAAGTTATGGATTTAAGTAGTGGTTTTAAAGGACAAGAAGAATGTCCAACCTAGTCATACTTAAAACTCACTATTGTGAGCGACTTTTGTGAAGGACAGTGCTACAGATTGCTAAGTAGCAAGCGCAGAATTTACAGCTTTTGAATGAGCACCTAGTAGACGTGTAAAACCTTTAAGGGAGATCGTATCAGTGCTTAGGTGAGCATCTATCTGCATAACCCTTGTCTGGCTGGAAATACCATAACTAAAGTGCTTTTAATGTCTAAAGTGAGGCTCTGTAACTTCCAACAGTAAACACTTTGCACTTTGAAGTTGGAGGGAATATTTTAAGAACCTTTTCATACAGACTAGCTCTTCTGGAAACAAGTATATATTTTAACTTTGGATGTTGTGGACTTTGGATTCTAGAGCTGTTCATGTAGTGGGCTTCCTGTCCGACAAATACCGAATATTTTCTGGTGGCGATGATTATTCATCGAATTTGTGGGATATTCCAAGTGCTACAGAAATCGTCTCATACAGTGAACATACTGACTATGTGAAATGCAGCTGTGCAAGCAAAGTGAATGCAGATGTCTTTGTAACAGGTTTGATTTTGGGTTTTATGTATGCTTCTTTTGGATTGAAGAAAAATGCAGAAAAAGTTTTTTATACAGTAGGATCTTGTTTATTATATTTTAAATATGGAGGATCTGTCTTCCTACTCAGTGTCTACTTTTTTTTTTCCTTTTTGCTTGCTTTTTAAACTTGAGCGTGTTAGGATTAGTGGGGCTGTTCTGACTGGCCTTTGAAAGTTTTGGGAAAACCCTGCGAATATATCTTTTAGTTGGGATTGACTGAAGTGATTTATCAGGTATCCAGAGGAGGACACTAGTTCCATTGTAATTTGTCCAGCCCCAAACTGGCATACTCAAAAATGGAAGGTCATGTGAGGAGTTATTTGAAACTGGGTGCTTTTGGTGTTCCTAGCGGTAGCTTTCTATTAATCTGTGATAAATTGCTGTGAAAAACATAGTATTCCGTACTTCAGGAGGCACAGGAGCCTAGGTTTCATTAGGTTGCCTGATATGTATTGTAAGAAATACACCTGATTAATGGAAGGGAAATAAAATCAAGAACTAAATTACATTTAAGGTCTGACATGTTGCTAGGGCTAGAATTAGAAAACTTATGTTGCCTGAAGGCTGTAAATTAACCAGGATAAACCACAACGTGTTACAAGTGTATGGTTTAGAACTGTTTCCGTTTGACAGGAGCTCCCTTAGGTAGTAGGATGTGTCTATTTTAGTTCCTGAAATAGCTGAAGTCATGAAACTGAAGTGGTTTATGGTGTTGTTTGCAGGTTCCTACGATCACACAGTGAAACTATTTGATGCACGAACAAAAAGTAGTGTAATGACAATAGAACATGGCCAGCCTGTGGAGAGTGTGCTTCTCTTCCCTTCTGGTGGGCTTCTAGTATCTGCAGGTAATTCAGTAAAATCAAATTTCTTTTTTGTGGCCCTAATTTGGGAAATACTTAATCTGATTCTTTCTTGTGTGGTGTTTTCATTTGGTAACAAAGTGGTAAGTGATATAAGCGCTGGATTTCTCAAAGATCTTTGGGAGTCTGTTGATCTGGAGGGTGAAGGTAGCGGTCTTTTTGTCTCTGATCAGATTTTCTTGTAGTTAAAAAAAAAATTTAATGACAAGATGCAGACTTTAATTGGCTGAGTGCTAAAGTGGAGGAATGAACATACTGAAGAAGTTTTGACTGCATGTTTGTCTTAACGATGACAAGTTTTTTTAGTCTCTTCTTGCCATTGCATCAGAAATTCTCTAACCCAGTGGTATATAGATTATTTTTGATAAGGAGTATGCTGAATCATTCAGCTAAGCCTGCAGAATGGCCTAAAAAAGATCAGGCTTGTAACGTGTTTTGTCACAGGAGATAGTCGTAATGGGTGCGCATGGTGAGTAGGTGCAGAAAACCCTGTGTTACGCAGGAGGCCCTGTATCGTTCTGTGAAGACTTCTTCAGAGCAGTATAAATGTTTATCTATGTCAAACTGTTTCGTGTGCTTCCTTCTCACAGGAGGTCGATATGTCAAAGTTTGGGATGTACTAAAAGGCGGACAGTTACTAGTTTCACTTAAAAATCACCACAAAACTGTAACTTGTTTATGCCTGAACAGCTCTGGACAAAGGTTATTGTCAGGATCCCTGGACAGGTCAGTGTATTTTGTGGCTTTGTTGTGATTTAAATTCCTTAGGACTATTTTCCTTCAAAAGTTATTATACATCAGTGTAAATCTGTGCATGTTTTTTGGGCTTAAACACTTTTAACTGTTAGAGTTATAACTTATTTGGAAACACGTCTTGGGGCCAAGGTACATACTGTGATATACGTTAACCTTTTCCTGTTATGAGCCTGAGTGTCAGTAAGGGTTGTGTGTGCCATTTGGGAATGCTGAAGGGGAACTTCTGAATAAGCTTTCATTTTTCTCAATGTCTAAACTGCAGTTTAGAGACCTTTGCAGTCCATAAAGTAACTACTCTTAACTGTGCTGTAATACGGTTTAAATAACTGAAAGCATGCTAATATTCACGTTTAAAGAGACTGGTTTTTGTGTCTCTGTGCAGTTGCTTTTTGTACCCAAGGTGCACGGGTGAGATGCATTCTCTTTGCTTTTTTTTGTTTGTTTGTTTGTTTGTGTTGAGTTGCTGAGTACTGGTACTCAATCTGTTGTCTCTGAGACATTGGAAATCTGAATAAAGTGGTCTGAAATGACAGTAGTCTTTTCTTTTCCTCCCTCCCTCCCTCTTGTACTTCCTAGTCTTCCTCAGGCTTTGTGATTACAAAGCATAAGCTGAAGGATCACGCTAGCTGTGCAGCTATTTGTTATTCAGTGCTCACAATGCTAAAGTTCATATGTTTTGTAAGATAATCTTTTGTTCTCCCATTTGTTACATATTTCCTACCTTCAACCAAATCATTAAAGAGCAGCAGGATGTAAGAATACCTGTGAATTTACTTGTCAGGAGATCTTACATTTAAAATTTAAGAACAAATTTGAAGAAATGCTCACTTGGTGTTTCCTAATAAACATTGCTGAAGTCAGATGGTCGCTACATCTGCCTTCAGTTGCTTCTTCTGTGCTTGCCTCATTTTCATCTTTTTTGGGTAAGAGTAATCCTTTCTTCACTTTTGTGTATATTTTAACAGAACCTTTCTGGTGCAGGAGAGGTAATAATGAAGAGGCTCAGCGGTAGTCTGAAGAACTTTGTATAAATACTCACTTTCCTTAAATAATTTATAGAAGTTGAGAATGATTAAATTCATGTAAACTGTCTACAATGAGGCATTAGTAACGAGCTTTTAATCATTACTCTTCTGTACAGGCATGTGAAGATTTACAGTACTACTTCCTACAAAGTAGTCCACAGCTTTAACTATGCGACATCCATCCTCAGTCTTGCTTTGTCGGTAAGTGCATTAGAGATATTTCTAGGCAAGGTAATTACTGATACCTTTTAAGTCACTGAAGTAATTAATTTCTGCTTGCATTGCTATTGAGTGTTTCAGAAGAATGCTGTACGTGCAAAATAGGATATCTGAATGTATTCCTCCTGAATAAAAAAAATGCATTAGGAGGCTTTAAACATAATACATTCAGATATCAGATACTACTTGATTAGATCTGTACAAAAATGTGTGTTTATTGAAGACAGTATATATCATAGGGAAAGTATTAGTTTAGAAGGGAAGTCCTTTGATTTTTAGAAGATTGTACTCATCTTTTGCTTTTAAGGAACCTTGTTAGTCCTCTTGTGTGGCAGTGATAAAATTTTAAAAAAGTAGTTCATTTGCTGAGAAACTTAGAATAGGGTGAACTTGTGTTAAAAGTTGTTGGTGTGAGGCTGGTCTCAGGATGAAAAGAGGAGAGGGCGTGAGGTATGAGCATAAACAGACTAATTTGCCAAGATACGTGTCGTATTGTCTTGGAAACAGGAGGCAAAGGCTCTTATTTCTCTGAAACATTTCCATGGAGAAGTGACCTGGTGGCCAGCAATTTGGAGGCTAGCACTACTTTTTAAAACAGTGCTGCTGTAGTGTAGTCACCCTTTTACGTAGCCTCTGAAGGACATGTAAAAGGAACTGTGAGGGATCTTTACTTGCTTTGCTGCTTTACTATTGTCCTGCTCTTCTGGAACCTAGGGGAACGTGTGTGTGGAGGGCTTGTTTTTCTTTCTTCCTTTCCAACCTTGTTCCCTAAGGAGCTAGAGCTAAATGAGTTTTGAGTTATTTTGAGTGAGGTGAAGAATACAGAACCAAAAAAACCCCGCTTAAAGCAGCCCTTTAAGCCTCTACAGCAGCTGCAAAACGTGCAATATCTGTAGTTTGGCGTTTCTAGAGCTGTATATGTGTCTTTTGAAACATAAATCTTTTGTTTCCTATTGACTAAAACCCTGGAGTTTTAAATGGTCATGTGAGAACGTAAGTCTGGCTCTATAGGGTCAAATCAAAGGCTGGTCTAATTCCAGGTGCTGCTTCCAACTGTAGGCATAAGTAGATGCATATGGAAAACTAAAAACAGGGCAAATGTGTGTGGTAAGTTTCCTGATACTCTCCCAAACTCATTTTCAGATGAGAAGTTAGCTCATCAGAGTTGTTTCTCAACTGATCAGTGATTTCTGTGAAATTCAAAGAATTTATCTTGCATAAACCTGCTCAATCTCTCCTTGAGCTTTGACAAACTTTTAACCTTCATTAGATCCCTTGACAAGGACTTCCACATTGCTGCTCTTGTGTGAAGAATCGCCTTCTTTTGTTCCATTTGAACCTTCTTTAGTTTCACTTGATAACCCTAAATGAGATGTTGACCAGCTGGTCTCAATCCCTACCTGTCATAGTTCTGTAAGCTTTTATCATATCCCTCCTCAATTGTCTTTTTTTCCCATGCTGAAGAGTTCTGTCTCAAATCAAGCCAATCTGATTCTCCTTGGGGTTTTTTGATTCTTTTGTTCTGAATCTGCTACTGTTTTTTGAGAATGACCTGCATAAGATTTGAAGATGTGGCTAAACAATGGATTTATTCACTGATATAATGACTTTCTAATTTTTATTTCTTCTGTAGTCATTCCTAATACTTATTATTTGGGTGTTTTTTTATTTTCTTACCAGCAGTTGAGCATTCAGCTAATATTTAAAGTTTTCATAGAATTAGCTGTTAATAGTAACAGGTCAGAACTCACTATTTTGTATGTGAAGACAGTGTTTTTCTCCAGTGCATCATTTAAAATTATAACCTTTAGCGTCAAATACATGCAAACTGTGTTATGTAGGTGAAATTTATATCAGTGACTGGTATTTTGAACAACTTTCACTTGTTTCTCAAAATCCTGCTGTTCCACGATAGCTTTCTCAAAGGTGATGTTCATGTCTGGTGTATGGCATGTAGTAGCCAAAGGCAGTTGTACACCGTTGAAAAAATCAAAACCTGTCATAGATTATACTTAAACAAGGATGTTAATGCATATTTGAGCTTGCTTCACTACTCAGTAGTACATCTAGGTATTTGTTAAACGTTTACTAGATGAATAATGCTGCTTACAATCATAGCCTTGAAGCTGTCTCTGTTTTGAATAACGTATTTGACCACAGGGCCTCATAGAGGTGCCTTCCAACTTAGGTTATTCTATGGTACTGTGGTTAGAGCCTTATCATTAAGCACAAAAATGTTAAATCCTGCATGGTAGAGCATGCATTATCAAATAAAACACTAAGTTCCTAACTCTGTGGTTTCTTCATTTTAGCCTGAAGATGAAACCATAGTCGTAGGCATGACCAATGGGGTGCTAAACATTAAACACAGAAAACCTGATGAAAGGAAAGAAAAGTCTGGAAAGAAGAGACAACCAGCATACAGAACTCATGTTAAAGGAAGAACTTACATGCCAAAACAGGTATAGGGAGTTGAGAAAGTGTATACTGAAGCACTCCTTAAAATGTGTTTTGGTTTGTGTTTGTTTTTTTCTTTGAGCATGCTAAGTTGAAAAAAGGGAAGGGAGGGAAGATACAAAGACATATAAGCTTGTTTGTGGTAATACATCTAATCCATTATGTGTGTGTCGGTCTTATTCTGAACTTGCCTTTCAATTCTAGGAAGATTTCTGTGTCAGTAAACCTGTAAAACGTGTTTTGAGGAAGTATGACAAGCTGCTGAAGAGCTTTCAGTCTTCCAAGGCCCTTGATGCAGTACTGGAGGTGAGGCATCGGGTTTTGTCTCATCAAAGTTGTGTGCTGTCAACTGATGTGGTTTTTTTCTGTATGTCAAGCTAGTTTTATTTCAGCGTACAACTATAAAGGAATCAAAACTTTTGTGGGTTCCATTTTGGTTTTGCTGATACCAGTCCTGTTCTTCATGTAAAGATGTTGCTGTGGTACTAAACTCTTTGTATGTGTGTCCAGCCACCCATCAGGCTCTATACTCCTGAAGTTACAGTTGCGGTCATGCAGGAGCTACATCGCAGAGGAACTCTGAGGAGTGCGCTTGCAGGCCGAGATGAGAAGCAAATTAATCTCCTTCTTACCTTTGTGGCAAGGTATTACTTTAACCTGAGTTCTCTCTGACTGTTTTGAGGCCTGTGTTTCTTAATAGCTTTTGCCACAGAGTCTCAGCGGATCATGGGTGGAACACTGGTGCTGTTGAAATCTCACTTGCCTTCTGCTTTCTGGTATCAAGGTCTGGGATTTCACTTGTAGTACTGAACTAGTTTACCTGTTAGCACAAAAAAAATTTTGCTCGTAGTATGAGAGAGTGTATTTTACTTAGCTGGACATTCCACTCTTAGTCTGTTGTTTTCTGCCCCCTCAATGAAATTTGTGTCTTCATGTACCTGAGGCTTTTACCAGTCCTCCAACCCCCACTGCCTTCCTGAAAGGAGGAGGGTAGATACCACCTGTAGCTTTTTTTTATTTCTTGACTTGCATCTCTGACTGCTGTTCTGTGACATCTCTTCGTGGAGGAAAAATTGTCTGTGTGCCTGTATGAGAAAGCTGCTTGTTGGTAGGAGGAGTGCAGTTGGCAAAACCAGTAAAATTGGATGTCTTCTAATTTTGCAGGCGTGTGATTGAGCCTAGATTTACTCCTGTACTGGTGACTGTTGCAGACATGATCACTGGTAAGTACAACACAAAAAAGATTCTCAAAGTGGTATAGCTTGGAAATAAGGTAAAAAGTGCTGCATTTTTAAGAAATCAAACCTTTACGAGTTTGTTTATAAGTATGAACTCAGTGTCAAGAGAACGATCCAAAAAGAGATCTTCCCAGGTAACTGACTACAGTCAGTATCTGATTTGCACCGGCTGCAGTAAGCTCCTCATTGTCTCCAAGTATCTTTGATACTTCGTGTTTCTATACTTACATAGTACGAGTGACTTCTGCTGTTCCAATGAGGTAAAAATAGTATCTGAGGTTCTAAAAACTTCTGTTTCTGTTAGTTTGACTTGCTGTGAGTACATTCCAATAATTAACACTGTTTTCAGAACACTGTTAAAGTTGTCTCATTTGTCCACAATGCTGGACTTGTGCCAGACTCCTTAAATGCATCTCTAACTAGCTAAGATAATTTTCACATTTTTGCAGATATGTGGATTCTACAGTGACTTTTTTTTCTTTACAGATATTTATCAGCCTGTGGTTGGGCAGTCAGCAATTGTTGATAGACAATTCGTGAGGCTTCATGAAGCCATAGGAAAAGAGATTGACTATCAAGAGGAACTACTAGAAGTTTTGGGAATGATGGATACACTGTTCGCTACTTTTACGAATAAAACTGCTACTTATCTAGAAGAGAATAAAAGTAATGGTCTTGCAGGGACCATTGAAACAAATATAGATGACTGACAACCATCGCAACAAATTGTCATAAAAATAATGGGGACTTGAAATACATGACATGTTCTCCTGGTAACTTTTTATAGTAGTTACTTTCAAAATAAGCCCCTCTGTGTTGAAGTTCTGTCTTCCAAACTGGGTTTCTGAATGGGCTGAATTATTGAAGATGGAGAAAGAAGGACATTTTAAAGATTTTCCATGCAATATTTTTCAAACAATTGAATTTTAAAGTTTTATTCCAAAGTTACATAACTTTTAGAGTGTTTTGTGCATCCAGTACTAAGTTGTTATTTGATTTAGAGAAACAGTCAACAATTTTCAGGTTTTATTTACCAGAAGATGATTGAAGGTTGTCTTAATTTTACTGTGTCATTGTCCTTATTTAAGTTTAGTATTCCATCTCACACACTTGGGCATAGGAATAAAACCATGTATGCGTTTGATGAGACTTCGCTGCGTTATGTTTTCTCTCCCTGCTTCATGTCCATGACAGACTTCCATGAATTAGTGGAATGAATTTCACTGAATTCATGGAGTCATTGAGAATGACTCAAGAAAACAAGTGCATGCTGATGCATATTGAAAAACTTGGTAGTTTCGTTTTTTAAATAGGACATATATATTTATGAATTATAATTTTCTAACAAAAATGTAATTCTTCTAAAGGGAAATTATTTCAAGTTAATTTAATGTAGTGAGTAAACTACACCAGTGAAAAAATCCTCACTTAAGTAAAAGAACTCAATTTTTATGTAGTTATATCACTTTCCATGTACAGTAGATGCAGTTTGAGTCCACGTTGTTACCAGTATGTATTTGAATGCTGGGATAATGGTTTATTTTAACTTCAAGCAGTGCTGGAGAAGGACAGAAAGAGAGGTGTGCCAAAGGCCACTCAACACGTGTAGGATGACAGTAGGGTAGAACTTTGTCCTTAACCTGTTTTCTGTGACTTGCATTTTCCCTGAGGTTTGGAATTTATTGGAGATACAATACAAATTTCCTGCAAAAGGAATTTGCTCAAATATGGCAGTGAAAGATGGGTATCCGTGGTAGAAATAACTTGAAAAATTTTGCAAGCTCGATGTAAAATCATAACAATCTTTGACTGAAAAGCATGGAACAGTATCGGATCTACCCTTAAATTAACATGTGAGCAATGTATGTTCTTTGCTACTGGGATTTGCTGGTTTTGAAGACAAGATGATAGTAGGTAATAATGAGGAGCATGTTCATGCAAACTGTAAACTCCTAGTTTCCTTGCTGCTCACTTTACTATTTTTATTCTATTTCTGTTAATAGACCTGAATTTTCTGTTGCCTTTTAAGACATCTGCGTGCTACTTCTAATTGTGTGACTTAATGAGGCAATATTTCGTAAGAGACTTCACACAAAATGAGTTTTTTGGGGGAAAAGGCTCTTCTAGAGCCTCTTTATTCCATGACCCTTCAGTAGTGCTTGGAGTTGAAAGTGGACATTTCTCTTGGCAGTCTCATGTTCCATGGCTTGCGAACCACTGACCTTAACATCAAATATATTCGTACTTCTTACTGATAATATTAATGTCTAAAGTATGTATCCATTGTAGTCCCTCGAAGTTGGATGTGATGTGTGGCTCACAGAACCATAAGAAGTTTGATTAAAATAGCAGAGAAGTTTGATCTAAATTGGAGAGCCATGGATTTGATGGGTGGACTGGTCGGTGGATGAGGAATTGGTTGGACACAGCCAGAGGGTAGTGGTCAATGGCTCAGTGTCCAGATGGAGACCAACGACAAATGGTGTTCCTCAGAGGTCCGTATTGGGATCAGTACTGTTTAATATCTTCATCAGTGACATAGCGGGATCGAGAGCACCCTCAGCAAGTTTCCAGATGACACCAAGCTGAGTGGTGCAGTTGACACATGAGAAGGATGGGATGCTATCCAGAGGGACCTGAACAAGCTTGGGGAATGGGCCCGTCTGAACGGCCAAGTGTAAGGTCCTACACGTGGGTTGGAGCAACCCCCACTATCAATACAGGCTGGGGAAGAAGGCATGGAGAACACCCCTGCTGACAAGGACTTGGGGGTACTGATGGATGAAAAGCTGGACATGAGCTGACAATGTGCACTTGCAGCCCAGAAGGCCAACCGTGTCCTGGGCTGCATCAAAAGTAGTGTGGCCAGCAGGTCCAGGGAGGGCATTCTGCCCCTCTGCTCTTCTCTGGTGAGACCCCACCTGGAGTCCTGCATCCAGCTCTGGAGCCCCCAGCACAGGGCAGACATGTACCTGTTGGAGAAGGTGCAGAGGAGGCCACAAAAAAGGTCAGAGGGCTGGAGCACCTCTCCTATGAGGAAAGGCTGAGAGTTGGGGTTTTTCAGCCTGGAGGAGAGACGGCTGCAAGGAGACGTTATTGTGGCCTTTCAGCACTTACAGGGAGCCTACAGGAAAGCTGGAGAGGGATTTTTTACAAGGGCAGGGAGTGATAGGACAAGGGGTAATGGCTTTAAGCTGAAAGAGGGTAGGTTTAGATTAGATACAAGAAAATTTTTTACGATGAGTGTGGTGAGGCACTGGCACAGGTTGCCCAGTGAGGTGGTAGGTACCTCATCCCTGGAAATCACAGAATCACAGAATGGTAGCGGTTGGAAGGGACCTCTGTGGGTCATCTAGTCCAACCCTCCTGCCAAAGCAGGGTCACCTACAGCAGGCCGCACAGGACCTTGTCCAGGCGGGTCTTGAA